ATGACCGCTAATTTAAAATTCGACTAATTACATATACATGCATCCACAAACCAATATATGTAATTAGAAGATATATATATAGTGATAAGCTTTGAGGCTAATTGGATGCCAATAGGGTCCTTTCGATATATTAATATTCAGCTTGGTAGCGAGGCCGAGAGGACACAAACACAGGAAGTGATTGAACAAGCAAGTTTATTGTTTATTCATTTATTTTGTTTGTGTCCTCTGTATCAAAGCTGAATTTTAATATATCGAAAGGACCCTATTTAGAGAGGTATTAATTCCTGGCTGATTTTCGAGTCGCATTAGCCCTCCGTGCTGCTTTGCACTCTTATAGCGGACCAAAAGAAATCACATCGACGTTGAGGGATGAATAAATAATTTTTAAATTGCATGTTTTATTCCCCTAAGCCTCGGAGCCAAGACGGAATTTTAATATATCGAAATTGGCCTATTGTTTTAGCAAAAAAAAAAAAATGGATATAAGTTATGCATATTAGCGTGGCCATTAAAAAGCAGTTTGAACTACAAAAAAACTGACTAGTTTACTGATTCTAAAGCTTATTATGTACCTGAATATGATCCAAGACTCAGTGTGTACTTGGATGCCCCATCCGCGATTGCAAACGAGTCGTACTCAGCATATCTAATCTCTCCATCCCAGTCTTCCAGATCCACGCGCAGCTTGTAATTTTCAATAGTGGTCAGGTAGTTTATCTTATCCAGTCCGAACCAAAACTCCCTATTCAGGCTACCGAATCCATTCTTGTACTCGGTCCATCCACGGTAAAAATCAACGGAACCGTCTACTCTCTTCTGGATTACTGTCCAGCTGTTGTTTGGTCACAGAACACAACAAAGGCACCCGGACCAACAGGGTCGATTGTATAAATACCACTGGTTGTGCTACCGGATTTGTACAGCTCAGCACAGCTTTTCGAAATAGCTGGAATGGTGATTTAAAGTAAACAAATTAGCTCTCGTTGTAACTAGAAATATGCGGCTCGCAGAACCTCGCGAAGTTTAGGGGGAGGGAGGGGTGCATTTTCAGTTGTTCTGACAGTCTGCATTATTTCAAAATGTAGCGATGTGGCTTGCTTTCCCGTCCACCATCTTGGATTTCACTATTTCTTCATGAGGTCAGAAAATAACATAAACAAAACCTGCATGTCATTACGCGGTTGGCGTGCAAGGGCAACGTCAAAAATTGCAGACCGATAGTTCTCACATCAAAATGCCAGGGAGAGATGAATGAACAGCTACTGAAAGTTTGAGCATCACAGAGTAAATCCCGTTTTCAAAATTTCATTAAAACTTAATGGGAGAGGGGTGGGCCGAAGCGTGTTGTGTAACAGCACCGTGTCCCAAAATACCAAAAAGGATTCGTCTGAATTGGGTAAACGAAAACACACCACACTCAGCCTGGACGAGTTTTGTTTCCTCCTTGAAAGTAAATAGCACAAGGAAAGTGAAAAGCACATTCCACTTTTGAGCAGCCATGTCTGAAAATTAATAAAAAACACAAAATAATTACACGGTTTTGGATAATGTTTATATTTTTAGTTTTGACCCTATTCTGCCTGGGCTTTTTTTCGTTAGGGGGGGGGGGGGGGCAGAAAGTCCCCCCCCCCCCCCCAATTTATCTCGAAAAGTATTGACGCTATGAAAATGAATCTTATTGTAAAGCATACAAAAATGATTATCTTAGTGACAGTCACGTGTCAATTATGACGTCATACACGCCATAATGACGTCATACCTTAAAAAATCTGCCATCTTGGATCCTAAATCTTGGATTTCTCTAAAATGTTCAGAAATGTCAGAAAATCTCCAAATTTGATTTGAAAAAAATCAAGAAAGATATAAAGATGCTAAAACGGCAAAGATTTTCGAAGGATTCCATCGTAAAAATCAAACATTTTATGCAAACTGAAAATTAACCTAAAAAACACCAAACTTTGGGTAAAACGATCTGTATCTCGAAAAGTATTCATGCTATAAAAATAAAACTACGTGGTGTACAAAGCATCCAAACATGTTTTTTTTAGTGAAAATTACGAATCAATTATGAAAGAGTGCAATGTAATTAGCTAGCATACTGAGACTACGTTTACACTAGAGGAGATTTTTCGGGATTCGTGACAAATCGGGGACGTTTTGGCACCGGATTCGTTTTGTTTTGCAGTTTACACACAGGTGGATGAATCCGGGATAAAACTGTCCCGGTTTGGTCGCGTGTGCGGAGATTTTGAATCCGGAAATCAAAGTGAATACTTTGTATCCGAATAAATCCGGAATGTTTTGTAGTGTAAACGGTTATTCGAATGAATCCGGAATGAATCCGGATCCGCTTGAGATCAAATGAATTTCCCCGGATTCATCGATGTGTGTAAACAGTTGAGAATCCGAATAACCCTCCAGTGTGAACGCCGACGAATCCAAATACCCCAAATGTGATGAATCCGTTAACATTAATGAATCCGGAAACTTTCCTAAGTCTTATCATCGCCGCTTCAGTGGAAAAGAGAACGCCGGAATAGGTTCCTTTGACGTGGCAAATCGTTGACTGACTTACAAGAACCAACTAAACCGATATCGATTGAAACCGTATAAATGAACGAAAATGGATACATTGGCTACATCGTATAAACATCAAGACACCACCATCATAATGTAAAATATCACATCTTACCTCGCTATGATTCAAGAGTGCTTTTCAGCTGATGCGAAGCTTCTCTCGATCGCGGGCTTGTGAACTGAATCCTGTGCAGCAGTTGACGGTAATTTAAAGGAGCAGTTACAGTGTGCCTTGATACAGCTGCCAATTAGTGCCAGGAAAACTTGTTTGAGTGACAACTAAACCAAACAGAAGGCTAGACATGCAATAACAGGTGCTATGTTTGTCAAATAATCGAAATTAAATCAAATGAATAATGGCACGCTATATCTCTTGGTATATGGAATCAGTACATAATTCGTAGGTTATGCAAAGACAATTTTCCTACAAAGGTTCTGCACAGGAAATTTATCACCGTCCCAATCTGGTTTCTAGGAGTAATGGAAACCAGTTATGTTACAAGCTGCTACAAGCTATTTGCGTGCGTTCTTAAAGTATTGTTTTGAGATGCATTATAATGATGTGCGTCAACTATGTCTGACTTGTACGTGCACGCTACAGCGTGTAAAACAGACTCGTTGCTTAGAAACTAACTTTTCACAGATCAAACAATACAATATCGTGCACGCAATGAAGAGGATCTTCTGAGTTATAAAGAACTGAATAAAGTTGTTGTTTTCGGTTGTATAATTTTTTTAAATTATTTCCGGTCGTTCTAGTTTGGGCGCGGACACTGCTTCCCAATCTAGGCTTCGGTGTTTGGATCCCCCTCCCTCCAATTTTCTTATTTTTTCTCACCGTGTGCTCGGATTAAGATTGATACTCAAGTTTCGTCTTCGTTCGATCGTGTGTTTTGTTAGTTTGTTTAATTTCTACACAATATATTGATCAAAAGTACCATGCCCTTTGCGATGCAGCTGCGATAAACACGTGACATGTACGCGTCCTTCACCCTTTTGTTTCTTCTTTTCGTTCACTCCTTTCATGCTATCAAGAGAAAAGGACTGCAATTCTTCCTCTGAGTATTACAATTTTAGATAATATAATAAAGGAAGCAGTTAGCTATTATTGTGTGGAAGATGCGGTGGCTTACTGCATGGTTAGCGCGTTGGACTCCAGAGCAGCCCGGGTTCGAGTGCTGGCCGGGGCCTGTTGTGCACTTTTCTCTCATAGTGGCTCTTTACAACCAGGAGTATTAATGGGGCCAGCAAACTGTTAGGGATAACCCGCGATGGTTTCCCTTCCAAGGGGAGTTGCAATACTTCTAGTCGGCTTCATGCTACGGAATCCGGGATAAGCTCCGTCAGTGAGGGCCACGAGTGTGGCTTTACCTTGCCTTGGATTGTTGTGAGTAAAATTTGGTATCTATACTGTGTGCGTCTATTGTCTATGGTCAATGTGCATACATGAAAGAATGAATGAATCCGGATTATTTTGTTTTTAAAAGAATTCAAAGGAAAGTTTTACTCTATATTTTCCACATGCTCGATTGGCTCCATTTTCTTTACAATGAAACTCGATACTTTTTCTGAGAGTGTCGTGAGCCATGCATGAAATTTTCGACAATCAGTACAAAAATAAGTAAGAATGTGTAGGTTATGCGAAGAACAATTTTCCTACAAAGGTTCTGCACATCAGAACATTATTTTGATCACGCCCAATCCGTTTTCTAGGAGTAATGAAAACTAGTAATGTTACAAGCTGCTACAAGCTATTTGCGTGCGTTCTGCAACGTTGTGTTTACAGTAAACTGACTAAAAACAAACAGGGACATAAACGCTTCACCTGTCTGAGAAATGCTTTTTGAGATGCCATTATAATGATGTGCGTCAACTGTGTCTGACTTGTACGTGCACGCTACAGCGTGTAAAACAGACTCGTTGCTTAGAAACGAACTTTTCACAGATCAAACAATACAGTATCGTGCACGCAATGAAGAGGATCTTCGTGAATATCTAAGTTATAAAGAACTGAATTAAGTTGTTGTTTTCGGTTGCATAGTTTTTTAAAATTTATTTCCGGTCGTTCTAGTCAGGGCGCGGACACTGCTTTCCAATCTAGGTTTTCGGGGTTTAAACACCCCTCCACCCAATTTCTCTCACCATGTGCTCGGATTAAGATCGATACTCAAGATTCGTCTTCGCTCGATGGTATGTTTTGTTAGTTTGTTTCTACACAATAAATTGCTCAAAAGTGCCATGTCCTTTGCGATGCAGCTGCGATGAACACGTGACATGTACTCGTCCTTCACCCTTTTGTTTCTTCTTTTCGTTCACTCCTTTCATGCTATCAAGAGAAAAGGACTGCAATTCTTCCTCTGAGTATTACAATTTTAGATAATATAATAAAGGAAGCAGTTAGCTATTATTGTGTGGAAGATGCGGTGGCATACTGCATGGTTAGCGCGTTGGACTCCAGATCGAGCAGCCCGGGTTCGAGTGCTGGCCGGGGCCTGTTGTGCACTTTTCTCTCATAGTGGCTCTTTACAACCAGGAGTATTAATGGGGCCAGCAAACTGTTAGGGATAACCCGCGATGGTTTCCCTTCCAAGGGGAGTAGCAATATTTCTAGTCGGCTTCATGCTACGGAATCCAGGATAAGCTCCGTCAGTGAGGGCCACAAGTGCGGCTGTACCTTGCCTTGGATTGTTGTGAGTGAAATTTGGTATCTATACTATGTACGTCTATTGTCTATGGTCAATGTGCATACATGAAAGAATGAATGAATCCGGATTATTATTATTTTGGGCCATTTGTATACTTTCTCTCATAGTGACCAGGAGTATCAATGGAGACTAGCAAACTGTTAGGGATAACCTGCGATGGTATCCGTATCCCTTCCAAGGAGAGTAGCAATACTTCTAGTCGGCTTCATGCTACAGCTATGCTACGGAATCTGTGATAAACTCCGTCAGTGTGGGCAACGAGTGCCTTGGATTGAAGAAACTTTAGTATATATATATACTATGTATGTCTATTGTCTATGGTCCATATGCATAAATGAAAGAATGAATGAATGAATCCGGATTATTTTGTCTATAAAAGTGTTCATGCTCGATTTGCTCCATTTTCTTTATACAATGAAACTTGATGCTCGTTCTGAGACTGTCGTGGTGTTCATGCATGTAACAGCAGGGCACCCATGAGATCGTTTCGGTGGAATATCGTATCGTCGGGAAGTCCTAGCCATAGATATTTGGATTAGTGTGATGCGAAACAACGGGAGTATTCTTCAGTAAACACTTTTTCGGATAAAAATACGAAAAAAGGCCATCTGTGCAATTTCTTTTGCTACATTAATATTCAGCTAAAGAATCCATGCCGATCCCAAACATGCACCTAAAAAGCACAAAGTGGAAGTACAGTGTTGTTTTGTTTTATATCTATGACATCTGAAATTGGTTAAAACTTTCTACTTTGCGCAACGGAGATAATGTGGCAGCAATATTTTCGTCAAGTATTTAAAACATATTTTAACCCTATTCTGCATGGGGGGGGGGGGGGGGGGGGGGGGTCAGTGTTTGCCATTTCAGAACAAGACGAGCGGATCTAGGACTAGACATATAATATCCGGGTATTTTTTGAGATATTTAGAAGTTTCTCGGATATTTAGAAGAATTCAAGATATTTAGAAAATGATACTTGGGTGATATTTAGGATTTTCTTATAGGCTTTATGCATATTTTCTTTGTTTCCTTTACACTGGAAGCTGTTTTACTCAATTCAGTGCCAACAGTAATCCGATTCAGTGGTTTTCCTCTTGAACGGTCAAGTGAACTGAGTAAATATATATTGTTTATGTTTTGCTTTCAATATCATTATCCACATGTATCCACAATTGCTGTACACGTATAGACTGTGTACGGGTTGTACATTGTGACAAAAAATGAAACTTTCGTTTTTATTTTGTCGTAATTGTGATATTTATAAGAAAAATAAGATATTTTGAAAATTTTCGACATATTTAGAAAAAATTTCGACATATTTAGAAATTTTGGGGGGAATTTCCGGAAATATATTTAGGCAAGAGATTTAGGCGATTTTACGTGATATTTGTGTCTCGGCCTAAGCGGATCAGTTGTCAAAAGTTGCAAAGGTAATCACAGTAAAGTTCAAACTATCCACTTCAGAAAGTGAAAAGGTTAAAGAAAACATTTCCATTCCCCCTTCCCTTCCCCCTGCTAATTTATGACCGGCCAGTCCCGTCAAAGTGCCGTGGTCTCCGAAAGCAACTAGAAATTTACACCAGCAGCTTAGTCGTCACGGAATTTGAACCAGACTGACAGAATGCTTCACCATTAAATATGATCGAAAAAAATTCCCCTTGCCCTCCTTGCCCCCCTTCTTGCACCCTCCCCCCCCCCCCCCCCCCCCCGATAGCTACAAGGAGAGATTGTGTGACGAGCCAACATTATGTATGCGCCGCATAAATTATGAAAATATTTGCATAATTACGATGTTTTGTAACATCTGCGGCCGGTATTCGTCACGCATCGCTTCAAAGGCGACAGAGACAAGCGGCGGTACAAAAACCGGCAAGACAAGTTTCCTTTCTTTTCATCCTGAAAACGTAAAGGAATGAACACGCGGTAAGTAATAGGTGAGATTTTGGGACTATGAAGACGTGTTAATATTCTATTTTCTTTCACGCCATACATCCCGGGCATACAAAATAATATTTAGCTTAGCTGTATTGTTTAGTGTTGTTGAGAGTTCAAACTCTCGCTCTCGTTTGGCCTGAACTTTCGCACTCTCAGCGACTCTCGTCGACTCTCGTGCGCTCTCATCGAATTTGAACCGGCACAGATTTGTCTTGAGAGTAGTCGACGCGCGACTCTCGCTCGATCTAGCGATTTAGGTTTTTGATATTGATGCTGAAAAGACCTTTTCAGGGATGCTTAATAAAGTGTATGCACAGGCTTACCATCCTCTGTTTGTATGGTCACAGATATCTACGATATTCAAATTTCTTAGTACAATATAATTGTTATTGTGAACATTAATCTTCCTAAAATTGGTATTTAGGACTGTCTATATTTAACAAAATAAAGTCAAAATGTTTGGACGTTGTTTAACTTTGCTTTGAAGCGGTTTTTACGGTGATTTGATGTGCGCGAGAGAAGTTTTCTGACTTCAAAGTTTTTACTCGCTTCTAGAATACTAATAACAACAAGGCATGCAACTTCGAGCAGTTTTGGACCGACAAATTGCGTACCTCCTCTCAAATTTTGCCCTAAAAAAGCATTTATTAACCGGGCGTGGGCCTAGGGCCCATCCTGGTTAGTAAAATAGCTTCAGTTTTTTTTTTGTCGTGATTCACCTTATACCTCTACTCCGCCAAAGTGCTAGGAGGAGAGCTAGGGGAGAGTATAAATATATATTCGCCTTGTGAAAGATTTTCTCGGGGAAGAACGAAGCCCGGACTCGAGAGAGCGGCGGAATCGAGCCTATGTGAAAGTTGGACTGGTCCAAATAAATATTAATTTAGGACCGCGTAAACACATCGGAGCGGCCTACAGATTTCGCAACGTCGGTGAGTTTGACTCGTCAATGTACTCACTACTGGGTGGACACACTAGGAGCGCCATTAGATCAAATTTTTTTATCAAGGCTACGTTACATTTAGATAGATAGACTTTTTTGAAATACAGTAGTCTCGTTGATCTTAACTGTATTTCAACTGGGTAGCCAAGGGAAGTGTTTGTGGTACGCGTTTCTCGTTATGGGGAGGGCATAGGCAGTAATTTTGACGCCGTATTCACGTGTTTTTTTTTAAATGTGCATAATATTATTGTCCCAGCCGGTGGTACAGATCATAGTAAAATAGCGAATTTTCAAACTCATTCGATATTCCAGCTGATTTTCCAAGATCAATCCGCGAACCTTTCGTACTCAAATTTGGCCAGATTGTAGTTCGAGGACTGGTCTTTCGAGATGCGGGAGCTGTTATGAAATTGAATTGAATAAATGCTTTTTTAGGGTAAAATTCGAGAGGAGGTACGCAATTTGTCGGTCCAAAACTGCTCGAAGTTGCATGCCTTGTTGTATTATTAGTATTCTAGAAGCGAGTAAAAACTTTGAAGTCAGAAAACTTCTCTCGCGTGCATCAAATCACCATAAAAACTGCTTCAAAGCAAAGTTAAACAACGTCCAAACATTTGGACTTTATTTTATTAAATATAGACAGTCCTAAATAGGCCATCTTAGGAAGATTAATGCCGGTTCACAATAACAATTATATTGTACTAAGAAATTTGAATATCGTAGATATCTGTGACCACACAAACAGAGGATGGTAAGCCTGTGGTGTATGTATGACATTAAAGGGGCACTGTCACGGATTCGCATGCGCGAAAAACTGCTCACTTCCTGTCGACCATAAATTATTTGGCCGCCATTCCATAATGACGGTTAGTGAAAATATTTGCATGTATTTTGTTTCTAATCACGATTATGTAAAACAGATAAAGTCATAATATTACTGTAACAGCGTGCGCTGTTCGCATACGTATTTCCGAAACATGATTTGCATACAAAATATTTTGCAACAGCCGTAACGCAACGCACTTTTGAGAGCCAAGCTTAGATTTATCCATTTGTACAGAAGTTTTCAACGGATAACCGTTGCCGTTGGAACGGCCGCTCAATATTTTTTCTCAACGGATTACCTGGCTTAGCTTCGAACGGGTGAAGATTTTTTTCTGAACGGGTAGCAGCAGCCGTTGGAACGGCTGAAGATTTTTTTTCGAACGGGTAGCGGCAGCAGTTCGAACATTTTTTTTCGAACGGGTAGTAGCAGCCGTTCGGCTTGCTAACCGTTCGGGTAGTGAACGGCTTTTAGCCTTTTGAACGGAAAGCCGTGTTGTACGTTTTCGCGTGAGAGGTCACAGCTGAGGTCACATCTGTTTCGATCACTCGTCTCCTCAACAACAAATGTGTCGCGACAGTTCTTATCACTGTATCCTTCGTAACCTGCAACGAATTTCGCTTCAAGCCATGTTTTGAAACTGTTATCTTCAAGATAAATGCGTTTATGGCTCTCTTGGCTCTCTTGGCTCTTGTCGGGGTATTGAATATTCTTTTTCGCCCAGAATTACTACGCTTTCCACCGTGCCGCCGCCGCCACTAGTCTACGCCATTTTGGATTTGGCAACTCAAACTTGACAAAGTTAGCCTAACCTTTTCAAGTTCGACTCGCGAGACTGGCGCATGCGTCCTTGTGACAGTGCCCCTTTAAGGCCCAGTTCAGACGCCATACTTCACATGAGCCGAATCGAATTCGATGAATTAAGTTCATCTGAGGTATGGCGTCTGAATCAATTCGGAACGGCTGGACGAATTTGGATCGGCTCAGCCGTTCTTCCCGCCTGGCTCAGCCGGGAATAACGGCTGTGGACTGGCTATGATTCAGACGCGGAACTTCACATGAGCCGAAACAAATGCATGAATTATTA